CGTTGTAAGTACGCAGTGGAAACTATACAGGATGAGGAACAGCAACAGGCAGTCACATTAGCTTATCACCAGGGGAAAACCAACCACCGAGGCGTGAACGAGACACTGCAGGCATTACGTCGAAAGTATTTCTGGTGGGGCATGAAAAAATCCATCCAAGAGGTCATAGGGAAATGCGAGGTGTGTATGCGCACGAAATATGATCGACACCCCCCCAGAGGGATTCAGGAAGAGACACCGACGGGGAATATGCCACTACAGGACCTCCAGATTGATACATTTACCTGGAGAGGGTTCAAGTGGGTCACGGTCATCGACGTCTTTAGCAAGGTAGCTATGGCACACCAGGTCATGGACAAGTCTGCCAACGCAGTTGCGGAAGCCCTACAAACCTGGGTGCAGTTCTACGGGGTCCCCGAGAGGATCACATCGGACGGTGGTAGGGAGTTTGACAATGCCGCGATTAGGGAGGAGGTGAAACGACTAGGGATTCGTTGGCATTATAACACCCCGGGACATCCTAAGGGTAGAGGCGGCATTGAGCGGTTGCACAGCACGCTGAGTGATCACATCCGGGTGTATCAGGGGGAAAAAGGGTTGGAGCCGGATGTTGCAATGAAGAAAGCGGTAACAGCCTACAACCACTCGATTCACTCCGTCACGGGATTTTCGCCCGTGGAAGTACTATTCGGGATGCGCAGGCCAAGGCGAGATTGCGGGGAAACAACGGTTAATGAACCATTAGTCGAGCAAATCCAGAGCAATAGGGTGGAGATGGAAAAGACGTGGGGAAGAGTAACGGCGAAAATTAAGCGGGAAAAGGAGAAGCGGGTAGAGAGGCAGAATGTTCGCGTACGTGACCAAATGGGTGATCTAAAGATCGGGACAATAGTGTACCGTAGAGTAGGGACCAACAGAGGGAAACAATTGTTACGATACGAGGGTCCATTCAGAGTGATTGCTATTAGGGAGCATAATCTACTAACGATCGAAAGCGTTAATGAACCTAGAAAGAGGAGAACGGTTCACATTGAACAATTGAAGCTCCCAATGATAGAACCGGAACATAAACTAACGGATTCGTAGTACCCTCACCACGTTATAACAAATATGTTTTTTTTTGGTTGTCTAAGCAAAAATATGGTGTATTTTTTTTTATGTGTAAATAGAATCATAGCAATACAGTAGAGGAAAGTGTATTATTTTTTTTTTTCTTCTCTGTTTTTTTTAGGATTTTAAGAGTTCTGTTTTTGGAAGCAAGTGTTGTGTTTAGTTCTGTTTTTTTTATTTCTTTGTATTATTGTATGTCTCGAGTGAGTTTTACTTTCTTTCAACTTTATACTTGTAAAAACAATTGTAAGGTGTTAAGACTGATAATCGTTAGCTCCGATCTAGGAATATCTAAGTTTCCGAAAAATCCTGTTCGTAAACTGGTGGGGGGGAGATAAAGACCGGAGACCGGCGATATCAGCCTTAATACCGTCCTGAATGTAAATAAACATATGAAATGTATATAAGGAGGATTACTAAAGGAATAAATCAGTATCTTTTCTGAAACCGTGAGTGTTGCATTTCAAGCCCTTTCCTTTCTTTTTTTTTATTGTTAGAGTCCGCCGACGCTTAACTTATATATATATATATATATATAGAGAGAGAGAGAGAGAGAGAGAAATAAAAAGATAAAGTAATATACAATATAAATAAAATAACAGATTAAAGCCGTATGATAATAAAATAAATATAACACATTCACACCTGCGTACAAAAAAAAAAAAAAAAAAAAAAAATTGAAATATTTGCACCTCTAATCATCTTGGTAAAAATAACATTTAACAATATAAAAGATGATGAAGAAATATTTAGTAAAAATAAAAGGTAATGTATCTTCGATGCATTATAAAGAAAGAATGTGTACAAATTACGTAAATTACGTAATCATTAGGAATATTTTTTTTTGTTTTCTGATCCTCCATAATTTTGTTACTTATAAATGTTTATTGAAATTGGCCCTTTTGAATGAAACAATTGTCTTCTATAGGATTTAAAATTAACCGTTTAATGTTTTTGTGATATTCATTAAAAAATATTGAATATTTCATAATAATTTAGGATTTATGGGAATGTCAAAACCTGCCTAAAGTTTAAAATAACTTTCTGATTTTTCTGTTATATATATATATATATATATATATATATATATATATATATTAAAAAAAAGAAAAAGTACTTGGCCATTTAGGGTTATTGTGATTGTTGAGGTTCAATGTGGAATAATCCTATCTTTTCTTTCTGATGTATTCAAATAAAATGCGATATATATCTTTTTAAACCAATCGGGAATAAGAACTTAAAAAAAAATTAAAACGAGAAATAAAAGAACGAATTTGGAAAAAAAAAATTACATTACTGCTGTATTGGTTGTAAGATAGATTTTTTTTTTATTTATTCATGATATTTACAACTGTGTTAAAAAATTAAATACATTAAGTAAATTTGATAACAGAAAATAATAACATGAAATGACTTGTTGAGAAACTACCCACTGGTAGCACTCTAAAAAGATTTAAATTATGCTTATGAGAACTGGATACCAACCAGCCCTCTAGAGTCAGAGTATCAGAGTACTAACATATAGAGGAGAAAGACCAATAAAAAATTGCTCACTGAAACTGGTCAATCACATGTTATGAAGGCACTGAGGTTAAGATGGGCGGGACATATACCTCTTAGCAATCCATCTGGAAGCTTATACGTGACAATGAATGCCTCAATAGAATGCGAAAGAACACGTGGAAGGCCAAAAAGTAGATGGATAGATAAAATCAACGCAGCTCTTTTGCGTGCAGATAAATGGAAAGAAATATCTCAAGATTTTAAACAATGACTGTTATCTCGAAAAAAAGACAGATAAAGAATTAATTGTATGATTTTAAATTGGTGACGATGAATTTTAATAGAATTCAATAGTTTCAAATAACAAAAAATAAAAAGGAAAGTTTTTTTTTAAACGTACGTTTTTGTCAGAAATATTGAAGAGTGATAAATGAACTCGTAATAGAAGTTGCTTTAATTCTGAGCTGAATTCAAGTAACTGAAAAGAAATAACTCAAGAACAGGCTTTTTAATGCGGCATAAGATCTACACGGTCTATAATGCCAACAGAAAAAAAAATTATTTAAATTAATTTTAGTGATGGATAATCAATATATTTTACGGTATATTATTTTTTTTTATGATTGACGATAAAATCAAAACATTAAAGGTGACCTAAAATTGGTCCTAAATAATTCCTTTTCTCAAGAATTCCATTAATTCATGGAATCAATAAAGCTATTTAATTTTAAAATGGTAGTATATAAAACATTATAATTTTATTATTTTTATCTTCGATTCAATTCTCTCGGTGACTTCGGCTATAAAATAAAGAGGAGGGTGGAGCTCTAAAGGCCGTGAACTCTTATATCATCCTGAGCCTTTAGTGACAGCCCCCCAGATAAAACAAATATATTGTCCTCTGGCGAAGAATCCCGTAGCGTTCCTAACAAGACACGTTCCGCAAAATAACTTTTGGCTGGTAATGACAGAATAAATAGTAATACAAAAATTGTTTGGTTGTCAAAAAAACGTAATTATGAATCGGTAAAAAAATCGCTTGAATTCGAGCTAAAATGGAAGTGATATCGAGAATCATCGGTTTATTCCAAAAAAATTATTACTTTTGATACTTAATTATTATTTTTAATGGAGCTGAACTTTTGTAAACTTATGAAAAGTTTACTAAAATGGCCTAACTCTTTTATATATAAAATATAGTTACAAGTGTAAAATGTTCTGATTTTTCAGAAAAGGAAGAATAATTAAATTACTTAGGTTATGAAATGTTAATTTCAGTTCCAGTTAACAAGTTCCATATTCAGCTAAAAACTTGAATTAACAGTGGGTCTCGAAGGTGTGGTGAGGACTGGTCCTCAACCCATACTGTTGATATTGAACATTACGTTTACCTTCATTACCAATTTCTAACCATGGGAAGATTACCGATTTTGTTCACCATAAGTGACTTACATTAAATTAGTTGGTACTCAGTTGATGCAAAATTTAATGCTCTGCAACTTTGATTCTATGGGTTAAAGGGCCATTTATAGTAATTTGTCCTAGTTTTTGACAAATTTGGTAAAAATCAGCGTTGGTTGACCGTGATTTTATACCTTACCACGTAACCAAATTATAAAATGTATGTAATCATTCGAATCAAAATTCAACGTTCTTTAAGTTATTAAAGAATACATTTTTCGCTTCGATGCACAGTTTAGGAGTTATAGGTGAAAAAAACAAAAAACATCGAAAATATCTCACTTTTTGGCTGTAAAAGTTTTCCTTAGTGGCTCGCGTTAGCAATTATAGCAATCATTATTAACTTCGTTAATAATGATCAGACAGGAACGAAGTCAGTTTTCAAAATGCAGAGAAACAATACTTCAAATTAAAAATTTGGATAACATTTGAATGGAAAGCGAGTATTTTGTGTAAGGATGGAAAACTGCTCTTGGACCAAACTGCGGATGGACTGCTCTTCAATCTGAAAAGAAGAGGGATTATCTTGAAAGGCCGTCATACTGATGGAACTACTACCTGAAAACTCGAACGAGAGAAAAAGTGTTAAAAATCTTGTATATTTAATAGCAACGATTTGATATGCAACAAAGGTCGTCTCTGTAAAACCTGTGTAGCTAAAGGCAAGAAACGGAGGAATAAATTAATAAAAATCTAATAGTGAATGATCTATGAGTATTTTTTTTTGCTTTCTCTTGAACTTTTTTAAGAAGAGGAGAGCTATAAAATGTCTTGGGGGAAGAGTGAGGGCTGATTCATGAGGGAGACGGGAATATAACGTTAAAAAACACCCAGTACTGTGACAAGAAAATGTGTGATAAGTATTCTTTAGTAAATATTAGTACACTATATAATGTTGAAATTCTCTATAAAGGATTTGTACTCACTCTCTTGGCTTCTTGTACTTGGGGGAAAATGAAGTCGTTAGGTGTCAAGATTATCTTGCATGGTCCCTTGGACATCCTCGACTTGATGTATAGCCTCCTGCAACATAGAGAGAATATCTAGTTTAATAATAGTGGTATAAAATAGGATTATAATACCAACTATTAAACAATATGCAAGTTAATATTATACATAATAATAATAATTATTTGAGAATTAAGCCGAAAAAATAATTGGTCGTTAAAGATTTATCGGCTATAATGCCTAAGTATAGCAAGTTGCCCTTGTACGGAAATTTTATTGGCTAATCCTCGTCCCCCCTCCAAAAAAAATATAATTATTTTTCCACTGTCAGTGGTCTAATGTTACCCAAATGCGAGACCGAGACGAGTCTTGATCTTGCAAACTCAGTCTTGGTTATGGTCTTGGTCTTGCGCAACAGTCTTGCAGTTACTTATTAGCTTATTACTATAGAGATATTACGGCAATTTTTTTAGATAGGAGAAATCTAAGTAAGCCCGAATGAAAAAATAGAGTTAAATGCAAAAGTATATTGGTTGTACCAATTATTAACATATAGTAACTAAGATTTTCAAGTATTAGTAACTATTTTGCCTTAATTTTTATTTAAAAAATCGATATTTTTTACCAGTCCTTGCAATAGTTAGGCGGTCTTGCTCTTGGTCTTGTAAAGTGCAAGTGTTTTTGGCAACACTACTGTGGTCGTTCTATGAATTTTAAAATTGATATGATTAATTTATTTTTGTATCTTATTATTATTATTTTTATTGAGTTCTTTAGACGTTATTACGTTTTGATCAAAAGTTCGGTAATAAAACATTAAGCAGTATGTGATAAAATGATTTAAAATAGGTGTTTTCACATCAAAAACATTTTCCATCCTTTACTATTTACCCTCTCACACTTGAGCGATCCATCAAGCGGAAATATCAACTCTCATCCAAGTCGATGGGAGGGATAACTTCATCAAATACTCAAGTTTTTTTTTTTTTTCCTTTGGGGCAAGAGGCTTATCGGAGCTCGCCCTATAAGGGTTGGTTTTTCGTTTCAAATTCAGAATAAAAACAAACGACCCAGATTTTATGAATATATTACTTAAATATTATTTAGAAATTTAAGTAACAAAAAAAATGTTGTTTATTTTTATATAAACATACCTACGCACAAACATTCGTACATGTTAAAGAAGTCACGTAAACAGAAAACCGGATTTCAGTACCATCGATATCATGACAAATAAGACGGACATAACAACCCATTTTTTGGGTCAAACGGCGTGTTAAAATAAAATGATATATAATAATTATACAGGATGTTTCAGGGTTAATTGGCCAAACCGAAAACGTGAATTATGAACCACAAAACAAGAAAAAAACACCTATGAAGGTATGTCCGTAAAAGCTTTATTTAGAAAATATTCACAACTAAAGATTTCCATTGTTATGAATTATTTTCGTTATATTAAGTAAATAACACCTATCTATTTGTTCCAACTACTTTGTTAATTAAACGTAAACATTAAATTCATTTTATATGGTGGCACTCCTTTCTTCATTTCGTAAAGGGGCAAACATACCACCAGCTCGTGGTATTATAGCAAATGTGCCAGTTTCTCTAAGAGCTAAAGGTAGACTTGTTTGGTAATCTTCTATTCGGAAATTGCCAAGCATATTCACGACGGGCAGCAGTAACATTACTATTGTAAAAACAGTATACAAACACCATATCGGCATATTTATCACTAGTATCATTGGAAGGCATAATGATGAGTACTCAGCGAAAGAATCTAACAAACTGATAAATGTTATTGAGAGTTTCCAATGCTAATTCCCAAATAGTATTAATCCAATTAATGTTGCCAACAGTTTTTTTACAGTTAGGGATAAAAGGCCATTTTAGTATTCTGTCTAATCCATCTACTAAAAAAAAGCGTTTGCCGACATACCTTCACTTTGAACAACATATAATATGAATGCTATTGTTTACATTTAATTAATAAAGTAGAAAGAGATATCGGTGTTTTTTGTTTCCTCGTAGAATAAATATACATTATTTATCTATTTGTTTTCTCTCTTACCTCTCGGTACTAAATTAATTAATTTAATGAGGCAAAAACCCTCATGAATACACATTTGCTTTCCACCAATCGTAACATAATTTGACCAAAGAATCGAGATAAAAGGTGCTTCACAAAAACATTGGGTAACTACCCAATACAGTAACTACCAACTGATATCACTCCAATCCAAACTTAAATCGGCCCATTACCGAAAATTTCCGCAAATAAAAAATCTTTGTCTTACGAAAACATGAAGCTGTCAACGAAGTTTTAGGTGGATGTTAATATGTTGACATACAATGTTCAATAACAAGTATGGAATAGGAACGCTATTATATCTGTTCTATGTTAAAAAAAAGAGGAACACGTTTATTCATTTTAAATTATGGAAAAAGATTAAGTATATATATGGAAAATTCTATATTATAAATTTTATTTAACCTTGCTTAATTTTTCTTAACGTTGGTACATCAATAATCATTAATACATGAAAGTATGAACAAATCATGCTATAGTTTTATATTGTATGTTTCAATATTTATCATTGTACGCTCTTGCACATTTCAACATTTTTATTTCACGTTTTCAGATTTTTATTGAACTAAAATCCGCACTCTATTAATGACCAAGAGGTTAATACATAGTACAAGGCTAGATCCGATTTACTTCCATTTGCATCTTAATCGGGTATTCTTGAAACTAATCGCTTCTGTCTAGACAAGTTCATGTTCCAGCAAGATATCTAGTCTAGCGCCTCCGAAATTGAGGGGGGTGTCACTATCCATCTTGGAAAGCGGTTTAACGAGGGAGTGACGGGAGTCTAATTGTCTGCACATCAGTCTTGGAAGCTCTGGCTACTGAGAGAGTACTTAACCGCCAGGTTTAGTAAATATTTTATACTAACAATGCGTTATACACAACTAACACTTATACATTGTTGTGGGTATTTCTGTTTTTTAGTTGGAAGTATAAAGGCCTAAAGGCAGGAGGAAATGCTTGGTATATCCCTGCTGGGAATAAATGTGAGGTCGTGTCCTCTACCCCACAACCTTAAGGTAAGAATTTGAAAGACTAATATTGGTATGTCCTTAAATTAATGCAGGTTTATGGTTTTTAAATAAAATAAATTATACGGAACTATTTTTATGAACCAAAAATACCCTCCAATACTTTTGATATATTTCTGGCAACGTATTTGTGACGTTTGCATTTACTTTGAATAGGGTCATCATCAGTGACGCCACAACTCCTGTAAAGTCAAGACAACCTGCAGCTGGGTCCATCAGTCTTCTCTATAGATTGGTGCTGCTCTCCTACTGCGGATTCCCAAGGTGGACCTGGTATCCGCTGCTATGCGGATACGAGGTCTTCCTAATCTTCTTGTACCGTAAAACCTTTCGTCTAAGACCAACCTAGGAATTTGATCCTGGGTCATTCTATTTAAATGACCTGTTCATCGAAATCGGCCTACTTTAATCATCCTTACGATACCTGAGCTCTAGTAGAGTCTTTTTTGCTCATCCTTCGTCCTTACCCTTCAGGCTCCACTGGCACAAATTAGTCCATAAGTTCTCCATAATATCCTCCTCCCAAACATTTGGAGAAGGGATTCTTGTGAACTCGATAATGTCCAGCAGTCGGAGATATAAGTGAGAACTGGTCTTACCAGGGTCTTGTACAATTGCATCTTTGTGTTTTCAGAGATAACTATGCTCTTGAAATGCTTCAGTAATCCGAAATAGCATTCATTTGCAAACATAATTCTGGGATGGATTTCTGTTTGTATGTCTTTATCCGCGTTTATTGTGAACCAAGACAGATAAACTCCTACATACTTTCAAATGAAAAGCTTCAGTGATTAAATCCGATGGTTCGTGCACTTCCAGTTGTGGACCTGCATGGATGTAGTTAAATAGGGTCTTGAACCTTTATTAACTGAACAAATTATTGAAATGCATTTTCAAACGAAATTTGATGCATACACCTTTTATCGTTTAAAAAGTGGCCCAGATGTCTAAAAAAAAATATTATTTGGTAGGAGATAGGTGTAGCTGTTTCGACCCTAACCAGATATCTATCCTTTCATGATAAACTCCTGTATCACCCAAATCCTTGCTTTGACTTGCTAGACTTGCTTCTTCCTCGATTTCTGATAACCTCCCTAAGAGTTTGAAAAGAAGATGGCCTCGTGATCTTCTTACCTAGAATTATTTAAGCAGTGCTACCACTGGGTAGTATCTCGACAAGTCTGTTCATTCCATTATTTTTAATTTCTGCTTATTTACTGGTTGTATTTATTTAATACAGTTAAAAATTTCAATTTATAAATTTAAAAAAAATAATGGTAATTAACAATTATTTTGGACCCATTTATATTCCCCAAAAAATAATGCATAAAAATGAAAAACTTTTTTTTTGTTTATATCAACAATTTTATTTTGTAACGTTTCGACCTTTTTTGTAATTTTCAAAAATATTTGTTACACACATCTATACCACATGTTATCTATAATAAAAATCTGACAAATAAAAATTTTACAGATAACATTTGGACAGGTTATATAAATACTCGTATGTGTAACAAATATGTTTGAAATGGCCTAAAAGTTAGAAACATTACAAAATAAAATTGTTGATGTAACCAATTGATTAAAAAAAAATGTATTTAAGTTATGTTTTATGGGATATAAATGGGAACAAAAAAAATGGTTAATTATGATTAGTTAACTTATAATAAATTAGCATTGTTACATCCAAATAATTAGTTTATATAATATATAATTATGTAATAAAAATGAATTAGTTATTTAATATTGAATGAAAAAAAAAAATAATTTATTTAAAAAATTTTATTTTTTATTTTTTATAGTTATTAACTATCTCATTTATTTGAGTACTCTACTTTGAATTATCAGTTGGTAGTTTCTTAACAAGTGTTTTCATATCATTATATTCCTGTGTACTTATTTACAAGATGCATTTATATTCTAATACAGTTGTAAATATGATGAATGAATAA